GGGCTCTTCCCAGAAAAGGTTTGTCCCCCCTAGTGTGGAATGGCACCTGCCACCTGCGCTGGGTGGAACTGCCACCCTGTTAGCAGCATTAATTGCCGTCCTTACCACCACCCAGGGGGCTTGCCCCTCCCACCCTTCGCGTTTTGGGGGCTGGTGTGGGAGCGCCACTCAGGAGCGGCCACCTTGCTGAGGCCGACGTCCCCACGCTGGCTGTACAGGTGAGCAAACCAGGCCCAGTGTGTCCCCAGGGCCAGGCTGCCGGCTGGGGGCAGAGGCCAGACTGAACCCTGGGTTAGGGCGGATGGGGCGGCTCTCCAGCCGTGCAGGAAGGACCGGAGGGTTCCTGGATCTGTTCCCACTCTGGTCATTCAGGGCCCCCCATCCCCACTTGTATTTCCTCCCTTGCCCTCCACACCATCGGGGGGGTCCATGCCCACAGAGCAGGTGTGCTCTTGTGCACCTGGGAGAGACCTATTTTGTCCTAAAAGCACCTCAGCTCCCTCTCCCTGGCGAAGTTCACTCCCCCACAGCCTGCCCCGACTCGCTCATGGGGCCCCAGACGGGCTGGTGCCACCCTCTTCCCCCAGCAGCCTCTGGAGCCCCGCTGGAGACGGGGCGGCCCTCCTGGGGCCTCGTTTTCCTACCTGATTGTTGAGGGGTGGGCCTGGCTGATCTTTAAGGAGCTCCCCCGTCGCCTGCTCAGGTCACTGGGGGCTCTCAGATGAAATGCAGGGGTGGGGGCCCCGCTTTCCTCTGGGTGGGACACACAGGAGAGCAGCAGCTCAGAGGCTGAGGGCTTTGGGGATGGCAACTAATCTGCACACAAATGTGGGAGCAGACAGGACACAGGGCCCGTGGGGGTGGGGGCCCACCCACTGGGGGCGCAGAGGGACCTGGGCAGCTCTGGGTGCTGGGTTTGGAAGTCCCTTCTCTCTGCCTCACTGGACTGCCACGGAGTGTTTGAGCCCCCCTCGCATCCTGGCCTCGTGGGGCTCCCCCTGCCCCCATGATGGCTGAAGGGAGTGAAGAAGGCCGGCCCTGCAGGCACCATCCCGGCTGGGACCCTCTGCCTCCCAGGCACTGTGGGGGCCCAAGAGTCACAGATGTAGGACTCAGGCTCCCTGCCCTTCATGGTGACTTCTCCCTGATCCTTGGACCCCACCCCCTGTGCACAGCAGCTCCTGCCTGACCCCTTACGGGACCCCTGTCCTGACTCCAAATAACAAGCTTCATCAACACTCCCTTTGGGTACCCGCTGAGGCTCCCACCTCCTGGGGACCCCTCCTCCCATTATAACTGGCAGTCAAGGCCAGCTGTCAGGGGCACGAGGCTTCCAGCCCAGTGTGGGGACCCCTCAGTGAAGCTCAGCACTGGCCAGCAGGGAACCCCTTTGCCCACAGCCCAGGGCACGCCTGACACTCCCCACAGCTACTAGGCTCACATCTCCTCAGACCCGCTTGCTGCAGGGGACACGACACCCCAGTTCACAGATGAAGGCAAGGGAGGCCAAGCCTGGGACCCCGGCTGGCTACAGGCTTAGGGGAGGAGGCAAGACCAAGGCCTCCCACCCCCAGCCAGGCAGTCATTACCCACTGGAAGTGGCTGCTGTGAACCAGGTAGCCTGCCCAGAGCCTGGCCTTGGGGTGCAGGGAGGAAGGTGGGGGGCCCTGGGCAGAGGCCAGGGCTTAGGAACCCGGCCCGCCTACCCTGCCTGTCCTCCGAGTCTGACAGTGACCTCATCTGCAGTCTCCTGCCCCCCACTCCCCAGGACAGAGATGGTTCCTGGCCTCAACCAAGGGCATCTAGCAGGTGACCACTTGCCTGCTGGGCTCTGGGCCCCATCCCACCACCCCTGGAGCCCACTCTCAGGGGAGAATGAGGACAGCTCCTGTCAGCCCCCCTCGGGCCCCTGCTTCTCTGTGTGTGGAATGGGGGAGGGGGGAGCCTCAGTGGGCTCCCGGCCCCTGCCCCCGTCAGTCTGATGCCATGTGGGAAGGCCCAGGTTGTGGGCACAGAGGCTGTGTAGCTCTTTCCAGGCGGCTGCCCTGTAGCCCTGCCCGCCTCCAGCCGGAGGGGAGTCTGGGCGGAAGGCCACTCTGGGTGGCTTCCCATACCCGCCCCCGCCACGGACACTCATCCTGCACAAAAGGCGTGTGCCCTGCGACAAACTCGTTCGCACGGCCCGCTTTGTGTGCGGAGCTGCGGCCCAGAGGCCATCTGCGGAGCAGGCGTCCCGGCGGGCGGGGCTCCCCAGGCTGCCTTTGAAGGCCCGGGAGGGGGCAGCAGCTCCTGAGCAACGTGCTGGATGGCCGCACATCTGGCCTGCCAGCTCCTCCCCGTTCCCACAGCCCCGGGTGTCCCCTGCGTGCGCTGGCCCTGGCACGGGCACTAGGCGTGACAAGGAGACTTAGGGGGCGCCTGCTCCCGCCCCCAATCCTTTGGAGTGCTACTCCCTCCTGGCTGTTCCCGCCAGAGACCCTCTGGAGGCAGGATAGCCTGGTGGGTGGGGCTGTGGGCTCAGAGTTCGAATCCAGATGCCGCCACTTAGTACCTGGGCTCTCTGGGCCTCAGTTTCCTCATCTGTAAAACCGGGCTAGTAACAGTCCGCCCCAGGCCTGTGCTGAGACGCGGGGCATGAAGCAAGGCCGAGCCTCCACGTGGCCTCTGCACACAGCTGCTGGATTGACACCACGACCATTTGGAGGCCCCGGCCCCGGCTCTGCCTGCCTTTGCCTCCGTCTACCCCACTTCGCTCTGCTTCCTGGGGGGTGATCTCTGCCCACGTTCTGGGCCACCTGGGAGCTGGCCAATGGAACAGGGAAAGGTTGGGGTTCTGGGGCCAAAGAGCCCTGGGATGGTGTGACCTCAGGCAGGTCTCTGGGCCTAGGTCTGTCCCTGCTCAGTGGGATAGATGCGGTCCTGCCTCCTTCTCGGGATTGTGAGCAGGTCCAGGGAGAAGACCTACGTGCTGCTCAGCTTGTACGCAGTAGGCGCTGCATATGTGTGCAGTTCCCTGCCCCGCCCTCCCCAGCCAGGCCCCCTGAGCACCCCCAAGTCTGGCCTCAGCCCTGGGCCTGCCTTGAGCTGACCCAGCTTTGGGCGCAGCCACACGAGGGTGGCGGGGTAGGTGGTTTCTGCCCCAAGCAAACCCTTCCACTGCCCGCCCCCTAGAGGGCCAGAGGCCTGGACAGTCAGAAGGGAGAACCCCAGAGGGACGGGGTGGGCGGGGCCCCCTGAAAGTCCTGCCTGAGGTGTGGTGGGCAGCTTTGAGTCTGGCAGCTGGACTGATGGGGGCAGGGAGCAGGATGTCTGAGGGTCTCTCCACTCAGGGACCCTGGGACTAAGGGACTTCTGGGGCCAGGGCTGGCAGACAGGACCTCTGTGGAGGCGCCCCTGCCCCCACCCCTGCTGGGGGGCTGTCCTTGAGAGGGTGTCCTGCAGGCCCCGAGATAATCCGGCTTGTGAGAGGCTGTGAGAGGCTGGCCCGCGGACTTTCCCACAGCCCCACATAAAGAGCCGCCGCCAGCTGCTCTGCCACAAAAGGCTCCCAGCCATTCAGGGCCTGGAGGCGGGCGGGGCGGGCAGAGGCACAGCCACGGCCTACCTGGCCACCCCCGAGCAGGGCCTGAGTCCGCAGGGGTGGTGTCTGCCTGCTGACCATCAAGGGGCCTGGGAGGTCCTCAGGGCTGGGACTTGGGAGCAGTCCTGTGCTGCCATCCAGGCCAGCCACCTGCTGGCTCCCCCCGTTTTGCCCTAGGCTGGCATGGTTCCTGAGCCATCACTCATCCTGGGCGCCCAGGTGAAGGGCCTCCCTGGGGACCCTTCACACTGCTGCTGCGCTGGGCACGGCCACCACCGTGGCCCTGCCCACCTCTCCCTCGCCCCACACCCGCTGCCACATTTCCTGCTCCAAGCCTGGCCCGTGCTGTGCTCTCCCCTCGATTTACCTCCGTCCCCTCGCCTGCCCCCACCCCATCCTCCCACACAGTGTGGGCGACAGGAGGGGACATGGGGGCCGGAGGGCTGGGCAAGGCCTTCTCTCCGGACCTCAGCTTCCTTGTCTGAGACGACGGACAGCACTGCCTCCCTGGGCTCGTGAGAGAGCCTTCTTAGGTTGGCTCTAAAAATACCAGGTCCCGGGGAAGCCAGGGTGGGGGGCTGTGGGATCTCTGCCCCCAGGAATTAACTGCCCAGGTCACTTCTGAGGATGACCTTATAATAAATACAAGGACCAGCCTGGGGGAGTGGAGAGGAGGCCGGGGGCGGGGCGCTTCCAGGAGGAGGTGGCAGCTGGAGCCTGGCCTTTCAGAAAGGGAGGAGGAGAGTGAGCTTTCCCAGGGGCAGCGGCCCTGGCCCAGTCAAGGGGCACTGACCCCTCTATGCGACCCTGGTGGTCAGCACCCTTCCCCGATGTGTCTCCATGTTGCTTCCACATCCTGGGCTGCCACTGCAGCCACTTTTGTCACCCAGTAAGTATAGCCAGGCCTGGCAGGTGCTTTGGCTGGGCAAGCTCATGGTCAGGCGGGAAGACTAGTCAGGTATGAAGAAATGGTGAGGCCCAGAAAGGGGACCAGGCATGGCTCTGGAGATCCAAAGTGACAAGACGGTGGCCACTGGGGACGCTTGTCCTGTGCCTGGAGGACAGGAAGGTGGCATCAGGGAAAGAGTTGCTCTGGACCCTGAACCCCCAGGGACGACCACTTCCCCTGGCCTCTGCATCCTGGGCAGGGCTGGACCACTGGCGGCTGCTCTGTGCGGTTTGAGGACAGGACTCAAGGGCATGGCAAATCCCAGCTAGCTCCCCACGTGTCCTCCGCCCGCACCACCGTCTGCTAGGGGCGGGGCGCGTCATTATCCCAGCCTAGCGTACCGGGGCTCCTGCACTTCGGCCGGTCCTGGCTGCCGATTGGTTGGCGAGCGTGGGAAAGCGCTCGTGCCCACGGCCCCACCGCCCGCGCCGCATAAAGGCACCGCCGCCGCTCGCCTCGGCGTTTCGGCCACCGTCCGTGCCGTGCGCTCTGGCCCCCGCGGGCCTGGCTCCAGGCGCAGCCCCCTGCCGACTCTCGAAGTAAAGGGCAGTCCGGCTCCCGGGCGGCGGCAGCGCGAGGGCGCACCCGCGGGTCTTGGCAGGGTCCGGCGGCCGCCCCTCACCAGGTCTCTGCTCTTCCCCCTGTTTGTGGAGTTCGGGGCGCCCGCCCAGCTCCGAGCTGGGGAAGTGACATCGTGGAGACGGAGGTGGCAACATCCCCGGTGAGCACCGAGCCTGCTGTGGCTCGGTGGGGGTGGCTGAGGTGGGGGGAATGGCAGGGAGTGGTGGTGGGGGTGTCACCTGAGGCAGGGCAGGGCGGGCGCCCTGAGGGGTGCCCGCTTCCGCAGCCTGCTCACCCGCTCGGCTCACTCTCCGCAGCCCCCGGCGGCTCGGCAAACCGCGGATGAGTCCAGGGAAGCCGTGGCGCGCTGCCTCCGAGAAGCCTTCCCGTCCTCTCCCTGCACCACGTGCGGATGCACACCCTGGCTGAGCTGAACAGCGACATGCAGAAGAGATCCCTGCCGCGGCCTGAAAGCAGCGCGCCCCCTGCGCCCCCTGCGCCCCTGGCCACAAGGGCCCCAGTGGCAGTTGCCAGACCCCTTGGACGGAGAGGAGAGGGCTGGGGCTGGCGGGGCGCAGCGCTCCTCCTGCAGTAGGGAATTTTGTTTCCCCTCCTATTTGCTGTCTGGCACTAGAGCCCAGGCTGAGCAGCCCAGCCTGCCAGCTGGTGGGGCCCCTCAGCCGGCAGCAGTGCCCCAGGTCTTCCTCCTGAAGGAGGGGTCCTGAGGGCAAGGGTTTTGTATGTCACAGCTGCTGTAAATGGTCAAGATTGTCCATGGCAGAGGGAGCTGGGGCAGCCACTTCTGCCTGATCAGCACAGCCACGCCCTGCGTCTGGACCTCTGCTTCTTCCAAGTTGGGAAAGAACTGGATGCTTTATGTTAAAGCAGGGGTGGGGTGGGCTGGGGGAAATGCTGTGCATTGGAAGGGCACGGCCCCGTGCTGGACACCGGGGGAGGTGTGGGGCCGCCGTGGCATCCTGGTGGGATGCAGGTGTATCCAGTGGTCAATGGTGGATGTGCGTGGGTATGGACAGCATGTGCCTCAGAGCTGGACCACGTGGAGCTTGAATAAAGGTGCTGGACTGAGCCTCTGCCAGGTCTCTGCCCCGTCCCCCGAGTCTGACTGCCACCCCTGAGATTCAGGCCCCCTGCCTAGGGTGTAGGGAGGGATCTGGGGCCTCCGGGGATGGGTCACTGTGCCAAGGGTATCCTGGGCTGGACCCTTGCCCTGCTGGCTTCTTCCCTGAACCGTGGTCAAGGCCCAGCCTGCCCCCCTGGCCCCCAGTGACAGGGAAGACTCTCAGGGATGGGCTGAGCCAGAGACAGCTCCTTCTGTCCTCGGGCCGCCTGGGGGGAGCCTCCCGATTACCTTGAGCCCCCTGTGGGCCAGGCAGTGTGCTAGCTGTCACATTGTGGGTTCCGAAATCACCTTCCCAACATCCTGGAGGCGAGGACGTCATTGTCCCCATTCGAAGATGAGCAAACAGAGGCCCCTGCAGACTCAGGGATGGTGCCAAGGACACGCAGGGGCCCGGGGGTGGGCTGGTGCCCCTCAGCAGTGGGGGCTGGCACCTGCTCCCACCGTGGCCGCTTAGCGTGCACTGAGCAGAGTGGGGAGTGCACCTCCCTCAGCGTCTCTCCTCCTGGTCCCCCAAATCTCGTCCCCTATTGATTCCCCGGGATAAGTGCTTCTCCCAAAGCGGGGGCAGGGCTGAGAAGTCACTTCATCCTGGGCACGGCCCAGCGTCCCTTACTGGATCAGAACCCGGCAGGGAGCACCCTGCATTTTGTTGGGGTGGGGGTGGGGTGGGGATGGACAATCTTAAAGGGAATGTGACCCCAAGCCCCCACCCCACCTGGCGCCTTGCCTTTGTGGTGTGGAGGCCACAGACACCGCCCAGGAGAAACCAGAGCACAGGCTGGCTCTGGGGTTTGCTGCCCCCTGGCGTCTTGCAGCCTGTCCGTGGGGAAAGCCTGGCTCGAGCATCTGCAGCTCCCAGGACGGGAAGGCGCTCTGAGGTCTCCCCCTGTTGGAGGCGAAGGGAGAGGTCCCTTTGGGGCTCAAGCCCGCCCCAGCCTCAGGGGCGGGGCACAGTGGGGACAGACGACCGGGAAATGCCCAGCCTGGGCGGGTCTCTGGTGGGTCCTGAGAAATGGATGGGCTGTGAGGTTCAGGAGGAACTTACCATCTGGGGAAGCATTGTCTGCGAGGAGGAAGGCTGACCTTGCACAGAGAGGGACTCGAGAGGATGGGTCAGCGTTGGGCGGTGACGGCAGCAGGCTGTGCTATTGATGTGCTGTGCTGTTTAATGCTGCTGCTGTGTCTGGGCCTGGTGCGGCTCTAGCTCACGGGGTCCTGAGCCCCCCGTTAATGATTGCTCCTCCATGCCACCGTCAGGGTTCTAGTTGCCCCATCTGTCAGCACGTCTCTCTTCTGTGGGAGGGGACAGCCCCCTGTGCCCCGTTACCTGGCATGCAGTAGGTGCTTAATAAGTGCAGGCTAAAAAGAGCATGCCTCCCTGGAGGCCTGAGGAGCCCTGGACTCAGCGTAGGGCCTGGCTGGCTCAGGACCCTCCCAGCTTCCCTGGCAGGGGCAGGCAGAGACCCTCAGCTATGGGTGACCACCCTGGGCCTGGGGCAGACGCCACCCCCTCCCAGCCCAGGCCGATTTCGGGGCCTTTGCACAAGTCAGGCCTGGAGCTGCGGACACCGCCCTCTGCCTTCTGGGTTGGTCGGGCAGTTGGTCAGGATGGCTGGTTGAAGACTGCAGGGAGCCGATGTGTCACCTGCCATATATTTGAGCAGCAGTATTGGGGGCCCCCCGGAAACATATCTTATTTGGGGGCTGATTGAGCACTTGTGTCCCAGGACCTTCTGTAGAGGCCTGGGGACGTTTAGCGAGTGATGAGCAGCCCCTGCCTCAGTGAGCACCCCCACGCAGCTCCCGGTGTCCCAGCCTCTCCAGCAGGCGGGTGGGCGCCAGCATGTCCATGCATAGGTGAGGCTGGGGCTCGGGACTGCCCCAGACATGCTGCTCGAATGAGTGAGGAGCGAGGCGCCTCTCAGCACGTGTGGCCACACACACCCCGACGTTTACCCTCGTCTGTTCCACGTCTCCTTTGTAAAATTACAGCCAGCGACCATGTTTGAACAAAGAGAAAGGCAAAGTAGAGCAATCCTTTCGACTCCATGGTGACAACTCGGGGAAAAAGATGATTACGGTCTCTGTTAAAAAAGAAACTATCTCTTCAAGGCAGGCGGAAGCGCACGCTAGGCCAGGAGGAACCGCACATCTGCCACAGCTCGCCCACTGTCGGCGGGGCGTTTCCTGTTTTTGGGCTGAGGCGGAGGCTGGCCCGCTGTGCCTGGGCCGCCCGCTGACAGTGAGGGGTGCACGGAGGCCCGGGGGCCTCGGGCTCTGGTTGGACAACTTTGTACGCCACTGAAGTGCAAACATCCGTTCAGAGTGCTTCTCATCTGACTTTTTTGTTGTTGCACTTTTTATTTTGAGATAGTTCACAGGGAGTTGTAAGAAATCATACAGAAAGATCCCGTGTACCTTTCACCCAGTTTCCCCCGTTGGTAACGTCTTGCAAAACTACTGCGCAGTGTGTGTGGGGGTGTTGACACTGATGTGGTCAAAACAGAACCAGCACCACGAGGCTCCCTCCTGCTTTCTTTTAACAAACAAATTTGATGTATTTTAAAAATTGCGATGAAATATATATTACGTAAGATTTACCATTTAACCATTTGTAAGTGTACAACTCAGTGGCCTTAAGCACATTCGCGTTAATGTGCAACCATCACCACCATCCGTCTCCAGAACTTTTATGTCATCTCAGTAGGAACTCTGTCCCCATTGAGCGCTAACTCCTCATCTCGCTCCCCCAGCCCCTGAACCTCTGTCCTACTTTCTGCCCCCTGACTCCTCGAGGGACCCGAGCTCCCTTCTGGGGAAATGGTGGGGTACGTGGGGCTGGCCTGGTGGCCCGGCCGTCACCAGCAATGACTGTTAATATGGCTCTTGATCAGCCTTTTTCTTGTAAAAGTGACACGTGATGTTACAAAAACTCACGCAGTGCGGAACAGACCACAGCAGAAAGTGGAAGTTTGTTGTTGGCGAGAGCTCTCCCCACCCACCCTGAGGCACAGGCACCCGGAATTTTTCGGGACACAGAGAAACATACACACGCAGACATGCTTTTTTTTTTTTTTTTTTTTTAACGCATCACAGGTTGAGCTTCTCTGTCCCCTTTCAAGCCTCTCTGCCTCCCTGCCCTCAGGGCTGGGGTGGGAGTGGGTGTGGACGCAGTTGGTGGTGTGGGGGTCCCAGATCTTTTAGCAAATCACCTTACCAGAGCTGTCTCCCGGGGGTCAACATTAGCGAGAGAAAGAGCACTGGGTTCGTCTTGTGGCTGCTTCACCTGGAGAACCCCAACAGCGGCCAGCACCTTGCAGCCACCACCACGCCGCACCTGCGCCCCGAGAAGTTGGGACGCTGCCCCATCACAGTGAGAGGACACACCTGCGGGGACCGGGGGCCTTCGTGAGACGTGTTGGGCAGGAATGGTGGCATCTAGGGGGTGCTGGGTGATTTTGGTCGTGCTGGATTGAGTGCTGGAGGAGCGGGTGCTCCACGATGGGGATCTGAATGCATCCTGTCGAGGATGTAAGCAGAAGGGCATGGCTGACATTGTGTGGGTGGTGAGGGAGGGAGCAGCAGTCACCCGTATTTGCCAGGGCGGCGGTATTTGGTTGTTTTTGTGGCGTGACAGTGACTGTTTGTCTGAGTTCATACCTGTCTGTGTATCCTTGTCGATGTTGACGTGCCATGACATTAATTTACCTGGAGAACACCAAGGCCGGCTGATAGCGCCAGGCCAGCTCTAGGCTGTCGAGGGCTTTCCTCTACCTCGCATCTGCCCAGTGGGTCTGTTCCGAGTGCCCACTCTGTGCCAGGTGTTGGGGACGTAGCTGTGAGTGGCGGAGAAACCTCCCTGTCCTTGGGAACTCGCGTTCTTGTTGGAGACTCTTTGCACTGAATTGTGTCCCCCAAATTCATATATTGAAGACCTGACCCCCAGGGTGACCGAATTTGGAGGCAGGGCTGTCAGGAGGTCGTTACGGTTAAATGAGGTCGTAAGCCTGGGGCCCTGACCCGGTAGGACTTCAGAAGAGAAAGAGACATCAGGAATGCTGGTGCACAGAGAAAAGGCCGCGTGAGGACACTGGGAGAAGGTGGCCATCTGCGGGCCAAGGAGGGAGGCCTCAGGAGACCAGCCAGCCTGCACCTTGATCTCAGCCTTCCAGCCTCCAACTGAGAGAAGTAAATTTCTGTTGTTTAGGCCACCCAGGCCAGGGGACATTGGCATGGCAGCCCTCTGTGACCCACACGAGCCCCTTCCAGGCAGTCCCCACCCCTGGTCCAGGCATGTGTGACCTGCTTTCTCTGCCTCTGCCTTGCACCTGCCTGTTCCAGACTTTCACATCAACGCAGTCACACTCTGTCGCTCCTTGGGGTCCGGCCTCTTCACTCAGCATAATGACCGCGAGGTCCCTCCATGACGCTGTGTATCAATATCACTCTTTCTTATCACTGAGTTGTATCCCGTTTTATGACTATGCCACCATATGTGTATCCATTCACCTGTTCATGGTGTCTGGGTGGCTGCCGGTTCTTGGTTAATGTGCGTAAAGCTGCTATGAAAGTCTGTAAACAGCTTTTGGTGTGGACGTATATTTTCCTTTGTCTAGGTTATTTACCTAGGAGTGGAATGGCTGGGTCAGATGGAAAGCGTGTGGTTAACTTTGTAAGCGTTTGCCAAACCGTCATCCAAAGTGGTCGTACCACTTTCCATTCCCACCAGCAGTGTCAACAGATCCAGTAACGCCATATCCTCGTCAATACCTGATATGGTCAGACTTTACCCTTAGCCACTCTGATAGCTGTGAAGTGGTATCTCCTTGTCATTTTAATTTGCATTTCCCTGTTGACTAATGATGCTGAGCATCTTTGCATGTGCCGTCTGTGTGTCTTCTTTGGGGAAGGATCTGTTCAAAAATCTTGACCATTAAAAGAATATTGAGTTGTTTGTCTTCTTATTGAGTTGTAAGAAATTTTTAAAAAATATATCTTTTGGGCAAGACATGTGTGTTGTGGATATTTTCCCCAGCAGGTGGTTTGCCTTCTCATTTCCTTAATATCAAACTTTGAAGAGCAAAGTCTTTAATTTGGATGAAGTCCAATTTATCTGTTTTTCTGTGATGGTTTATGTCTTTCATGTCCTCTCTAAGAAATCTTTGCCCACTTCAAGGTCACAAAGATTTTCTCCTATGTTTTCTACCAGAAGTTTAATAATTTTAGCTTTTACATTTAGGCCTATGGTCCCTTTGGGCTACTTTTTGCTCGTGGTGAGGGTAAAGGCTGAGCTTCATTTTTGCCGCCTTGATTCTCCCTGTTCCAGCAACTGTTGCCTACAAAGATTACCTTTCCCCTGTGGGATTACTGTGGCGCCTCCGACAACACTCTGGTGATCGCACACGAGCGGGTCTGTTTGTGGACTCCGTCTCTTCCGTCTCGTCGACCGGTTGGTACTCCTCCTGCCTACACCATCTGGGCTGGATCCACGAGGCTTACAGCTCACGTCCTTCAGCCCTGCTCTTCCTTTTCAAAATTGTTTTGGCCACGATAACTCCTTTCTGTTTTCACATGAGTGTAAAAAATCAGCGTATCAATTTCCACAAACAAGCCTGCTGCAGTTTGATTGGGACTACATTGATCTCTGGTTACTTGGGGGAGAACTGACATCTTGCCGAAACCCAGTCTTCCACTTTGTGAGCATCGTACCTTTCCATTTACGGCGTCCTCTGTCCCCTCCCTCGGCAGGGCCTGCACAGGCCTGCACACATTCTGTTGAATTTGTCCCAGATGCTTCATGTTTTTAATGTGAGTGTGTTCTTGCTCTTTTAAATTTCAAAAACCCATCTGTATTTTCTAAACTGTTGGCCTTGTGTCCTGTGACGTCACTAAATAAGCTGTGTAGGCCACTTAGCCTTTCTGTAGACATTGTAGAACTTTTATATATGTGGTCACGTTGTCTGCGAAGAAGCAATGTTTCCCTTCCGCTCCCATCGCCGCGCCTTCTCTTTCTTTTTCTTGCCGCGTTGCCCTTTCTGAGACTCCAGTGCAGTGTTGTGCAGAAGGGGATGAGTGGGCGTCCCTGCCTCGTCCTGTTCTTGGGTGAAAGCATGCCGTCTTCACCATCGACTGAGACGTTGGCTGTGGGAGTCTCTCAGCTGCCTCTGCAGATTTGGGGGCTCTGTTTCTGCACAGCCCCCGGCCTCTAGAACCCTGCAATCTCCAATCGCTGTCCTCTTCTTTTGGCTGCTGTCTCTTTCTGTGTACAGTATCCTTTGCACGTCAGCCTACAGTTTTGGTTTTGCATGCAGTAAGACAATGTCTGCATTTAACTGGAGGATTGAGACCATTTCCATTCCATGTAGTTTCCTGTGTGGTTGGGTTTGGGTCCATATTTTGATAATTATTTGCTGTTCTTTGTTTCTTGTTTCCTCCTTTATGCCTTCTTCTTGACGAATTGAGTGTTTTTTGGGTATTTCATTCATCTGCACTGTGGGCTTATTTGCTACACATCTTCATTTTATTTATCAGCGGCTGCTCTAGGGCTTACAATATGCACCTGTCCTCACCTCCCACTATCACCCGCTTGACAGACCATGAAAAGCACCTTACACAGTCCACTCACGTTTCCCTGCCCCAGGCTTCTTGCTCTTATTGTCATGGATTTTACTTCCACGTGCTGTGACCATGACAGCACATTGTTATTTTTCTTTAAGCTTTCTATTATTTTTAAAAGAAATTTTAAAAATGAGAAAAAGATGTCTCATGTTTACTGACATATTTACCATTTCTTTCACTCTCCATTCCTTTGAGTAGAGATGCGTTTTCATTGGGTACCGACTTCCTTGTCTTTGAAGAAAGTCCTTTCACATTTCTTGTAATGAAAGTCTGCTGGTGATGGACGACCGGAGCTTTTATAGAAATCATGAAATGGAAGTCCTCAGTCTTTGTTGTGCTTCCATTTTGGGCAAATACCTTCACTGTGTATGGAAGTCTAAGTTGAGATGTTCTCCAGCGTGTTCTAGATGTTTCTATCGTCCCTGACTTGCACTGTTTCTGGTGAGAATTCAGCCGTGCCCCTTATCTCTGCTTCTCTGGATGTGACGGTGTTCGCTGAGACTGATTTGGGGTTTTTCCCTTTATCCCTGTTTTTCAGGAATTTGATTGTGATTTTCCTTGTTATATGTTCTTTCTTGTTTATCCTTCCTGGGGTTTGTAGGCATTCTTTTGTTTGTAGGTTTATACTTTTTCTTTAATTTTTCTGTTCTTGCCTCTCTCTTGTTTTGTAAGACTCCACTTATATTGATGTTAGACAGCTTGATATTTTCCAGGCATCACTGAGGCCCTGTTTTTTTTTCCCTTTTCTTTTTTTCTCTTTGTACCTCATTTTGGATAGTTTCTATTACTATAGCTTCAAGTTCATGGATATCATCTTGAAGTGTCCAGCCTGTGTTAACCCTACTTTTATGGGCCAAATTGCGTCCCCCCAAATTCGTATGTTCAAACCCTAACCCCCAATACCTTGGAATGTGGCTATATTTGGAGATAGGGCCTTAAAGGTGGTAATTAAGGGTAACTGAGGCCATCTGGGTGGGCTTTAATCCAATCTGAGAGCAGGCCTATGGAGAATAGGAAATTTGGACACCCAAAGAGACCCCAGGGATGCGCATGCACAGAGAAAGGACCATGTGGGGACATGGTGAGAAGGAGGCCGTCTACAAGGCAAGCCGAGAGGTCTCAGGGAGACCAGCCCCACCACAGCTTGCTCGTGGACTCCAGCCTCCAGCCTGCGAGGCGATAAATTCCTGCTGTTTACCCAGGATACTGCGGTATTCGTTATGGCCACCCGAGCCGGCTAACACACCTGCCCAGCTCATTCTTCACTGGAGATTTTATAAAGTTCCATTTGGTTCTTTCTATATCTTCCATTTCCCTCTTTATGTTTACATTTCCCTTTAAAAATGTTTGAAAGACTGTCTTAGGGTGTTGTCTGGTAATTCCATCATTGCGGTCATCTTTGGGTCTATTTCTCCTGATTCACGTTTTTGCTGGTCACATTTTCCTGCTTCTTGGCATGTGGGTAATTTTTGCTGGGATGCTGGGCATGGTGTTTTTACTTTCTTTATGATCTGGAATTTTCTCTTTTACTTTCAGTCCTCCTGGAGAGAGGGCTGTGCGTGTCCGGCCTGTGCTCAGTGACTTGGGCTTCGCTTTGATCTTGGGTGGGACTCTGAGCTTAGTTACACTAGGGCTAGAGCAGCCTTACTCCAGGCCGGTTCAGCCCTGGGGAGGCGCGGCCTATGGGGTCTCTCCTGCAGGCCAAAGGGACCATTGAGGACAGTCAAGTCCAGCTGGTCAGCACTCCAATGTCCCCTCACCCTGTGTGAGCTCTGGAGTCACTCGGTGCACAGCTCCTAGTGGCTCACTGTGCCGTACTGTGGAGTTTTATCCGTGACACACACGGCAGGTTCTTGAGCCAATGCTAAGGGGACCTTGCCGATGGCTGTAGCTTTTGTCTGTGCAGCTCCCTCCTTTCGGGAGCTCTGCTTGCGTGTCCACCAGCTTCAGCCGTCCTGAGGCCTGATCCCTTTCTTCTTAACTCAGCAGGACTGCCCTGGTCTGCTGGGGATCCCAGTTCCTTTTGCCTAGTTTCTGAACACAGCTGATTCACGGTTTTCAGTTTCTTGCTTTGGGGGCAGAGGGTAAGTCCAGGCTGTGTTACTCCATCACGGCAGCAGGCAAGAGGGACAGTTCCCCTTCGACGGCACTTAGGTTATTTCCAATGTTCTCTGGCACCTTCAAAGGCTGATGTCCTCTCCTGTACGTCCACCTCTTCCCGTTGGAATGAGAATACTTACTTCCAGGGTGGAATTCATACACGACATTGCCTGATCAAAGGGTGCAATGGTCTAAGACATTTAACATTTACTCCCAAACTGCCTTCCAGAGTGGCTGGCCCACTGCATAGTCACTCCGTGCTCCATGGAGTTCACCATCCTCAGTCCTGCTGGCTTCCCCTGGGCCCAGTCTTGACCTGTAAACACCTCTATGAGGAACTTTCTCTTCCCTGTCACCAGTGAGTCTGCACATCTTGTCTTCCTCTTTCTTGGGCTGCTCTGCCCTTTCCTCTTTCTTCTCTTTCCCAGCCGTCCATCCTCACCTTCTCCTGCTCTTGGCCAATGGTCCCCGGGCCCAGCTGCCCAACGTGGAGCCAGGAGGCCCCCGATGCTCCCAAAGGCCCCCTGGGTGCTGGTCCCATTCCGAGGGCTGGGATTGTCCATTTGCTTGTTGAACCAGGGGCAGGAGGAGCCCTCCACCTTCAACATTTCCCAGAAGTCTCTCTTGGAGCTGAAACCAGGGAGGCAGCATTGAATCATTGCCAAGTGGCCGGAGCCACTTGTTTGGTCCAACCCTCCTTTGCTCCTTCTGGAGAGGTGGCCTCCCTTGGCCTGGCCCCAGCTCTCCGCCTGGTCTCCTGACCTGTAAAGCCGTGGTCCCTAGGGCCCTGACCGTCTATTCACACAGCGTAACTGTGAGGGTTAGGATGGCAGGAGGGCCTGTAGGTGAGGTGAGGGCCAGACACCAGGGAGCACGGCACAGGTATGAGCTGAGATTGTTTCTGAGGACAGGAGAGACATCAGGATGACCTCCCAGGATGAGCCGGCAGAGGGAATGGCCTGCGTGGGGCTCTGGGATGGAAGGAGCTGGAATAAGCAGGGACGCAAAGGGGTTGGTGTGGCTGTAGCAAAGGGAGACATGAGTTGGAGAGGCAAGTCTGGGCTGATGGGCAGGCCTTGGGGGGCGGGGGGGGGGATTTGGTGAGGGGCCCCAGAGGGTGCAGGGAGGGGGCGACCGTGACCGTGGTGTCATGGGCAGCTAGGGGTGTCCCTAGCTGCTGTCTGGACTAGGCAGAGCAGGGGAGCCAGAGTGAGGGCGGGGTGCCGAGGTGAGAGCATGTGCCTGGAGGGAGCAGACCTCTGAGGAGCCTCTTGAGGCAGCCTCTCCATGCCCACAAGGGGTCCCGGTGTGGGTGCAGCAAGGTGAAGCGTGGCACACAGCTGCCTCCCAGGGCCCTGATTTTGCCAGGGAGCAGAGGCGGTGGGGGAGTTGTGGAGGAGGAGTTGGGAGGGCTGGTGGGGGACTGGGCACGGGGCGCTGGGGAGACGTCTGAGACGAGAACTGATACCCTGGTCTGGAGCTAGACAAAACCAGGTCTGGGCGCCCACAGCACCCCCAGTTCTGCTCCCAGGACAAGCCTGGATTTGAGCAGGCACCTGGGCCTCTGGGAAGTCCCTGGTGGCCCAAGCACACTCTGCCCCTCCTCTGACCCCTGTCCCAACCCCCAGTTCTCTCCCGTCTGTCCCAGGCATGAGGCTGAGGAGTTGCCGTCCTCTCCGTCCACCTCTACCCGCACCCTGAGAGTCGGACACCGACTCCTGCAGGCCCTGCGCCTCTGGGCGTCCCTGGAGTTGACCTCTCTCCACGCCCTTCTGCCCTCCCTGCCCTGCTCCTCACCTCCCAGAGGCTCCCACCTGGGAGACATCACGCCCCTGTCTACTCCGTCCACCCTCCCCACCAGCCTGACACCTGCACAGTCTCCCGTGCACAGGACGCACCCGGGGTCTGCAGCCTCCCTCAAGGGGCCAGCCTCGGCCAGCTCTGTGTCGAGGCCCCCTTCCATGCCTCACCAGGGCTGGACCCCAAGAACTTCCCGGCCATATTGTTCAACCCACATCTTTCCTCCGGGAATGCCCTTTCTCACCTTGTCCCCCAGCAGGACTCCTGTTCATCTTCAGAGCCCCAGCCCACATCTGCTGCCCATACCCAGCCCTCACCACATGACGCTGACAGTGGCTTTTAGACTCAGCTCCCTCACTGGACCATGAGCCCCAGGGGGTGAGGCCCAGGCTGCTTTGCCTCTGAGCCCACTTCCCAGCCCGGGGCTCCCACAGAGCAGGGGGCTGAGGCCACCAAGAATGCAGAGGAGAGGAGGGGGGGCCTCAAGGTGGGCTTTCAGGACGACCCTGCCTCCCACCCTCCAGGCCTGGGCTCAAGCACCCTGGTTCTCAGCATCTCTCCCATGCTCGGGACCCCAGAGATCTCCCTCTCAAGAAGAGGAGGAAATGTGATCAGGGATTCCTCAGCCCATCGGGAGGTGTCCTGGCCGGGAGCTCCGGGTGTCGGCGATGTGGTGGGGTGGGCAGCCCCTGGGAGGGAACGGTGGGCGCAGGGGCAGGTCTCAAGGGATAGCCAGGTGATGGAGGCTCCTCTTGCTGCGGCAGAGTTGGGTTTGGGGAGAGGCTGAGCCTCAGTTTCCCCATCTGCACTGGGGGGAGGCATGCACAGATGCCTCTGAAGCTCCTGCCGGGCCCTCCCCTGGGCCCTGAGGTTGGGCACCCTGCAGGAGCCCTGGGGTCCCTGGACACAGGCTCTGGCTGAGTCAGGAGAGGCGGCTTCCCTGGATCCCAGCCCACATCACAGGGATGACTGGAAGGAGAGGCCCTGGGGTGCGGGCTCTACCTGCCCCCCCCCATAAGTAAGGGGCACGAGAGCCCCATGGAGCCTCAGACAGGTGCGGGGCTCCCTGGGGCGTACCCTGGTCCTGCCCTGCTCCTGATTCCTGGATGCCTGGGGCCGAGGAGCAGACGCGACAGCCAGCCATGGGGACTCCTGGTGCGTGGGCAGGAGCCCTGTCTGCACCCTCCTCCTGTCTCATTTCCTCCTCAATGAGTCTGGCGCCCAGAACTGAGCCTGGCCTGAACTACTGGGTGCTGAATGAGTGAGTGAACAGCGAGTGAGGAGTGAGCACAGGAATGGTGATGCTGAGACTGGAGCCCAGCCCTTCGTCTTCCTGCTAAAATGGACACAGAACTCCTGCCACGGAATTTGCATTCCAGGGGGGAGGTGGGAAGACAAGGAACCAATAAGACACCAGGGTCACTGGGTGAGGGTGCAGGGGGTGTGGTTGGAAACTCAGGCATCAGGAAAGCCTCCTGAAGAGGCCATGGCTCAGCAGAGACCTGGTACAGAAGGCTCCCTGGGCGGGTCTCCCCTGCTGCCTTGGGGCGTGACGCTGGCTCAGCATCTAGGGCCTTGAGTCTTGAGGTGGCTGGGTGGGGAGGGATGGGCCAGGGGTACAGGGGCTGAGCCAGCCATGGGACTCCCCATTCCAGCTGAGACTCACTGATGCCTGTGGGTAAGTCCTGCCCTTTGCTGTGCCTCAGTTTCCCCACCTGCCCAGGGTGGGGTGGATGAAAGGATCTCTGATGAAAGGAGGCATCTGAAGGGAGTGGTGGGTTGAGAGCCGGGATCGAGGGTCCTGGGGGCCTCACCAGGTGTGGGGAGAACATCCTCCCTCTCTGGCCAACCCCACCCCAAGGATCTTCCCAGGACTTGGGAGGTCCCTGGGGGCATGGCAGGGAGCAGAGGTGGTCCCAGAGCCCTGTCCCTGCCCTGGGTGCCTGCAGTGTGCTCTGAGGCACCCGTGTGCTGCTGGGGTTTCCAGGGCATTCTAAAGCACTCCCCAGGGCTCTTGGGACCAAGCAGAGGGTGCAGAGGGGGTGCCCCTTTCCCTTCATTGGAAACCCCCTGGCAGTGCTGGGGGCAGGGGGTGTGAGTGCACGTGGGGGAGCGGGGTGGGGGCACCCTCTAAAAGGCCCCTGGGTGTGGGGATGGGACCCTGTGCTGCTGGGTCTCATGGGAGCTCCCAAGCCCCTGGTCCCACCAAACCCCCACCCTACCTCAGAGCACCAGGGTCTGTGGGGCTGGGCTGGTCGTCCCGGGTGATGGTGGCCAGGGTGGACGCTGCCTCTGGGCGCTGCGAAGCTTTGCCGATAGGGCAGTGGTCAGCCTCCACCCAGCCCTCGGACTTCACTCCTGCCCTGTTCCTTCCCCAGTGCCCAGGGTCTCCTCCCAGGGTCCCCTAGAAATAGAAATAGATAGTGACCCCAAAGACACTGGTGACTGCCAGCCAGTCCTGCCCAATGGGACCCCTCCCTGGGGAGATCCAGGCAAACCTCGCTGCCCCAGGTGCCTGCAGCCCACGGAAAAGTGAACCTTCCAGTGGGGTCCCCGGCCTCCAGGGGTCCTGCTCCCACATCATGTGAGGTGGGCTCTCACAACCCTCCTCCCAAGACCAGAGGCACAAGGGGGCAGGGAAAACCGACACCTTCATGTCCAGCAGATGCCCTGAGGTTCAGTGGGGCAGGGTGGGGTCTGGGGCTGTGACCCTGGAGGAGGATTTTGTGCCAAAGTCAGGACAGAGAAGGGGCTCCAGGTTAGCCTGGGCTGGGCATCCAGCAATCGGTACACTGGAGGCGGTGGTTCCTGTGTCCTTGAGGGCCCAGCCTTAGCACCTGATGGGGACCTGCCTGGGGCCTATGGAGATGGACAAGCCCATCAGGGTCGTGATGGGTCTGATTAGATGGAAGCCCCCACCTTTAATTGACTTTCCAGCTCAAAGATGAAGGGGGCCAGAGGCATGCCACGTGCATCACATGAGCCTCAGACTTTAATGTGATGTGACAGCCAGCGGGCATGGGGGCCAGGGGCCGGACTCACCCAGTCGCTCCCCATCCAGGATGCCAGGGCTGGGTGGGTGCCTCTCACCAGTCCCAAGTGTGACTCTTAGGCACCAGGTGTGTGTATGAGGGTCTGCTCTCCCAGGCCTGCCCTCCTGTCCCCCAGCTCGGGAGATGGCCATGGCTCCAGGGAAGGTGGAGTGGGGAGAACCCCGTCTGCACAGGAAGGTTGGGGTTTGAGGCTGAGCACAGTTTGCACATGGGAGACCCTGGGCAAGGCCCTGTCCGTTTCTGAGCCCCAGGTCCCCACCTGTGAAATGAGAGCAGGAGATAGCCACTCCCACCCCGTCCCAGGACAGGTGGGGGTGGACACAGTGGGGGCCCCTGTGGGTGCTCACAAAATGTCCCCCTTCTCACCCTGATGGGGACTCAGCGACCCCCAGCCTCCTGGGATTGGGGAAGGGTCACCTTCTGCAGAGACGTGCGCAGGGCTGTGCAGGTGGAAACCAGCCTGACCCAGCCCCAGGCAGAGGGTGGACACGCCCAGAATGCACTGCTGGGAGGCGGGGTTTCCTTGAAGTGGCTGGGCCCCCTTTCCGTAGAAGCAGGATCCCGCCTTTCCATAGACGCTGGTTCCCCCTTTCCATAGACGTAGGGTCCCCCCTTTTCAACAGAGACAGGTAAGACACAGCCAAGGAGGTTCCTCTTGGCTCCTGCTGTCAGGAGCTGCAGGCTGGCTCTCTAGGGTCAGCAGGAGATCCCCCCTGCCGCCTATGCTGCGCCCCTCCCCCTGCCCTGACCTCTGCTCTGGACCGCTGGTCCTGCCAACTGCAGACTGCATCCCAGGGCCCTCCCTGCCTGTCACTGTGGGGTCCTGATCCCCTGGCAGCCTAGGGCCCCAATGGCACATGCTTGGGGACTGGAGACGAATACTTCCTGAGATCACCCCGAAGGCCGTCCTCGCTGGCTCCTGCTGCAGTTTCTCTTTCTCTTTCAGCCAGCGAGGCAGCAGGAAGCCCAAGTGCTAAAGCTCGTCCTGCTGGCAGGGGGCTAGGGACAGCAGCCAGGGAATGAGGGGTCGTGAGGAGAGACATGGAGCCTCTGCGAGGCTGGGGGCCACCCCCATGGAGCCCGGCACCCAAGGCTGATGCCCTGAGCCTGGTGAGTCTCCTGAGCCTGCCTGTCTGTCCAGCCGCGCCCCAGCGCCCCTATTCCTGCCCCTGGGTGTACCCTCTTCCCCATCCCTGCCCACGATGTCCCTGTCCTGCCCTTGTCCCCCAGCTGCCCGGCTCTCCTAGGCTGACCCAGCCCTCTGTCACCCACTCACCCTGGCCCTGGGGTAGGGGAGCAGACAGACAGGAAAGCCATAGAACAGCTCCTGGTGGGCCTCGTCCCCGAAACCCCACTCAGGGGACGAAGGTGAGCCCCCAGCACAGGGTGAGGGTGCCTCCGGGGCCCGGCTGTTCTTGGATGCCTGAGCTGTTCCCGCCCTGGGGTGGGAGCCCCCAGCAGGTGGCTAATCTCCACCCTCAGCCCCTCCCTGTCCTGGGAGATAAAGTCCGTGTCTGTGTGAGTAGGGTGGAGTCCAGGGCCAGGCCGGGGGGGAGAGCCTGCTTGCCCGTGTGGCTTCCTGCCAGCCCAGGCGGAAACTTCAGGGTTAGCAGAGTCAGCCCTGGGCCCTGGGCCCCCTCATGGCCCACCCCAGCCCGGGCCCTGAACAGCCTGTCTCCCGTGCCTGGCCTGTGAGCCCCTGACGGTCGTCCTGCTCTGACCCTGCTGGGTCCCCAGGGCTCAGCGGGCCCAGCACAGGCCAGAGGCAGGATGGCCAGTTGTCCAGCCCAGAGTGGCTCAGGGCTTCCCAGGGAGTGTGGTCCCTGGTGAGAGCAGAGACCCAGTCCTTGGGGTACCATGCTGGTGGACTTGGGGACAGAGGCAGGAGACGGGCCAGTCCCCACCTAACGCCAGGGCTGTCCTGGATGATTCCCAGAGCCTGTCGGGCCCCACCTGTGTCCTCCCTCCCAGGCCACCTCCAGCTATGGGGCTGCTGCTGCCCCATTTCACAGAGGCTGATATCGAGGCTCCGGGGCAGCCTGGGCTGCTGCTCCCCTCCAACGCCCCATCTGTCCCCTCCAGGCCTTGTATCTCCTCCTTCTGGGGTCCCCCCGCTACACCCTGGCGACGCCCCAGTGCAAAGAGGAGGAGTACCCAGTGGGGACCGAGTGCTGCCCCAAATGCAGTCCAGGTAGGTGCCGCCCCGAGGGACCTGCCCTGGGGGCCCCTGGGAGCCAGCGCTGTGGGGAGATGCTCCAATCTTCCCTGCCAGGAGCCCCTCCTTTCACAGCACTTCTCTAGGGGGATATGAAGCCCCCGGGGCAGGGGCACTGACGGGGAGGACCCGAGCCCCCAGGGCCGCCCCCCCAGCTTCGACACTTCCCACCAAGACTCTCACAGCCCTCTGCACAGGGG